AAAGGGTGTGATTTCAGAGTGTTCGGAGAAATAGTGCCCAGCTTTATTTTCCCGAACGTTCGGAGAAATAGTGCCGGCCTTTTATAAATTCAAAAAGTTCTGTGCTCAGTGAAGATAAAGCTACAAAATGCACCTATTTGCAAACATTTTCTGGCAAAAAAAGGATTTTCGTGGTCATTGCTACATTCACTCACCCACCTCTCCTCTTTTAAAAACTCAAATACACTCACTCATTCACTCAGGTCACTCACTGGATTTTGAATCGACGACAATTTCTCAACACTTTTTTTTGGTCTGCTCTGTCTCAGAGGCTCGTTCTCTTATTTTTGGGCTCTCCTGTACAATGTTTTGACCCTACCAACGATTAGGAGGCCGACTTCTGGTTGTAATCTAAGGAAGTGGCTATTCTCACCCGGGGCCGGGGTGAGAATAAAATTACGATCTACCTCTTACCTCTCACCCCGGGTGAGACTTGCCAGCGTAGGCTATTCTCACCCGGTGTGAAACAAGACCTGTTTTTCCTCATTTTGGAATGGAAGTGGCTATTCTCACCCGGGGTGAGAATAGAAATACGATCGACCTCTCACCCCGGGTGAGACTTGCAACCGTAGGCTATTCTCATTCTCACCCGTTGTGAAACAAGACCTGTTTTGCCCGGAAGTTCTCGCACTACTCCTCTCTCTCTTTCTCTCTCTCCACTGCCCACAGACAAAATTGCACGCTGTTAGGCTAACACTAACAGTAGTAATAGATCTAGAACATTTGTTCTCAGCACAGAATTCTATAATTCTGTATCACAGTGTGAAACAAGACCTGTTTTTTCTAAGGCCACCTCTATTCCCCGGGTGAGAATAGCGCAGGCGAGTCTTTTGGCTATTCTCACCCGGTGGGCGTTTACCGTATAGCCTAGGCAAACCAGTGAAGCGTCCACCCTGAAACACAGAATTCTACACTGTGATAACAGAATTATAGAATTTTGTTCTGTGAACAAACGTTTCTAGATCTATTACTACTGTTAGTGTTAGCCTAAAAGCGTGAAATTTTGTCTGTGGGCAGTGGAGAGAGAG